GATAGTTGCCCCTCCCGAATGATGAATGTATGTTGCTTACTATTTTTATGATATGTGTTTATGTCACTGTTTGTACTTCCCCTCCCTGATTTTATGTGAGCCGCCCTGAGTCCCCTCAGGGAAAAGGGCGGCCTACAAATGTTAATAAACATTACATTACAAACATTACAAGAGGCCTTTTGTCTCTTGCAAAATGGTACTTTTCCTCCTTAAAACCAGTTGTGTAAAAACAAATACATTTCACTACAGCTGATGATGGAAAATTGGTTGCAATATGTTCTGAATTATATAACTAGCATAAGCATTATAATATGTTTCCGATTAGAAAGGAATGGCTCTGAAGATGAAAAGGCTAACAATTTAATTCTTTCTAGGCCGGAGCACTGATTCCTTGAATGACATCCAGGGATACGTTTCATCGGGAGCAATTGTGATAGGAAGGCAGAAGGATTCCTAAACATCTCATAAAAAGACTGGAATGGTGGCAAGATGCAATTTTGGTGTACAAGTTGTAAAGTATTTATTCCTAGGAGTTGCAGCTGTGTATTATATAATAAAAAGCCTACAATAGGCATATTTGAGTATCTTTGTGCTTTTGTGTAAATTTCTAGAGCAGTTTTATTCAAATTTTTAAGGATAGTGGGCACATGTGGAACTTTTAGGGTTCTAAGGTCATAAAATATTGGTTGCAAGAATACTTTTGTAACGATTAGTCACAAAATATTCATTTTATAGAAAGGAAAACTAGTGAGGCTACAAAATCTGAACGCATAAGAGGTGAGGATCTGATCTTGAACACATTCCAAAACTCCCTTCCTTTAAGGCTTCCTGACTTCCATGAAATGAAGTTGCATCAAGCATGCTGTTACAGGGAAAACCCATCCTAAGTGATATAGGCACAGCAACAGAAATTACTGAGTATTTGCTACACAGGGTGTAAAGCATGTAGCACTTCATAAATAAATCATTTCTAATCTACATTCAAACTAGTATTTTTTTAAGTGTAACGAATGCCTAGATTACTCAACAGCACTTAATGTAAGTACATAAGGTAAACTAACATGATACTGTAGTCAGCTTCATTTACTGTAGGTCATAAACAACTTGTGTCTTCTGCAGATTTTCAATATAAATGTGCTTTACAGATTAAATAAAAAGCTATTTCAATGTTCTATAGATTCTGGATTCAGCCATGATGAAGCCGTGCCTCTGGCTGGTTATAAATTGTACCTGTAAGAACTTCTGAAGGCTATATAGGTATCCTTACCTTATATCATATACAGTATATAATGTATATTTGGAACAAATGACCAGTAAAGCTGTGTAAATTGACCATGGAAAAAAAATAGACAAAGGAATTAAATATCTACAAAGATTAGCAAGAAACTTTGATAAGTAAATGATTAAGTGGTAAGGGAAACAAACTTTGAAGACGGGAAGAAAAATCTAGTACGATTACCTGGCAGCTTTATTATCTAGCTGAAATAATCTTTACAACTCTACCATAGAGAGGAAATAAGAATGTGGCTCAACATGAGACTATAAAAAAATACACCAATTTGCTCTGAAAGAGTTGCTAATTGACACTAGAGGCAATATTTCAGCAAGAAATGTTCTTCTGCCTTTCAATTGACTTTTAAAACCACTACTATAATGCTATGTTTTAAATCCACACACACTTCATTTTTGTTAGTCATTGCATAACATATTTCTGTTTTGTTATAGTGGTCATTTTAGAAAACCTCCATGCTTGCTAGATGATGCATGAGTGTTTTTACAAATTTCCCAATTAAAAAAAGCTATCCTGTTGAATACTTTTCCATTATATAATTATGCTTTTTAGAATTGAAATGCCTACCAGAGTTGATCCAATTAATAGTTTATCTTTCCATTGTCCTCCTGACATGCAAAGGAGAAGTGCCTTGATAAAAAATAGAATATGCATGCTACACCATGCTCAAGTAGCCTTTAGAGAACGTTTTATAACCCAATTAATCCCAAGTAAATATGGTAAAGGCTGCTATGCAACATATGAAGACTTTACACTTGATTGCCTTTTTTTAAAGATAGAAAATTACAACCGTTGCAGCTTCAGTTCGTTCTTCTGTAACAAGATGCATGGTTTTCTAAATCTAAATCATCTCCATTGTATTCAGTTCTTTCCCAAAGAAGTTCATTCATAAATAAGCATCTGAATGAGCCATCCACCAACTTGCTGTCCTACAGATGGGTCACACTATCTTTATACACTTTATGCAGCTACCATAGGCTTCTGACTGTCTCGTCTGGCTGTTATGTCAGTTGAAGTCTTCATCCAGGCATTCCAGTTACAAGTATGCTTCATGTGGGAGAAACTGAGAACGATTTCCAAATTTTAACAGAGATGAATTTCTCAGAACTGCAAAGCCTCTTGCCAATGTGCAACCAATGAAAATAGAATTTTTTCTAAGTTACTTGATATTTACTTGATATCCAGAGGGTAGATGGCTTCAATGTCAAATAGCAACAATGGAGGTAAGATACTAGGGAACTACCAACATCAGCATCATAATATTGCTCTGTTGGACTGATAAGAGGTGCAGCACTCATGTACAAGCAAGTCAAATAGCACATATATCTATGATCCCTTGAACAAGGGGAGTAGTTGAGGAAGGTATATGTAGATTGAGAACAAATGGCTCAAAACCAGAACATCCCAGTTGCTTGACACACAACACTACGAACCTATTTCGATCACGATTTTCTTTGTAACAAACAGTGGTTTCTAGCAAATAAGATGTTCCAAATCACAGATAGTATTGAGAATCGAACCATTTAAAATCTGATCATGAAAAAATGTTTTTGTTTTAGACTGCCACTCTTCACTTCTATCCACTTAGAGGACAGGTGCTTTAAAGGATATTACTGAAACTATATGGCAGCGATGGGGAACCTTTTTTGGCTCACGTGCCATAAGTGGGGGGAGCGCAGGGGGGGTCATGTGCGGGCATGCTGCACCCATAATGCAATGCGTGACCTCCCCAGTGCACATGCGCGCACTACAGGCGCAACCCCCCATTTTTGCATGCTTTTCTCCCCCCCCCCGCCCGGCCACATGGT